CTACCTAGCAAGCTTATCCCTGTACTATAGCCTAAGTTATCATTATGGTAAGGCTATACCCCATGGTCGTCATCCTGTTCGGTTTTGGCATTGTAGCTGCGAGTTAAACCTGCCACTTACGTCTGACAAACAATCAAAGATCATCTGTAGTGCTTTGTGCATCCCCCCTAATCTTCAGATGAAGCAGAAATGTCCAGAAGCATTCAAGATACTGCACTTACTGCGTTGAACTTATCGATGTCTCCCCGGTTTTAGCATCTTCCTTTGCAACTCTTTTTGGTTTCGGGAATAGGTAGGAGAACCAGGCCTCATTCTCATAGTCTGAATCCTCAACCTCCTCCAAACGACTTTCCGGCATGTCCGCATAGTCATCCTCTCCGAATTCTAGTTTGCCCTTTTTCGATCGTGTCCTCTCCAGCCTTGTCTTGCTGGTGAAAGCACGTCGCAACTGCAGCATACTGAGATTATCCCAGAACTGACTGTTGCACACTTCAAGAACAACTTCCAGAATGGCCCCCTCCTCGGTTTTGTAGTCACTCGGATCCTGATCCAGTACAACTGGTCGCTCAGCAAAACTCACCAACAGAGGTCCATAGATCTTTGCAAGTCTCAACTTTGCTGTCAACGGATTTGACGCATACTCCCAGGCATGCAGCAAATGCAGCATTAGAAAGGCCAGCGTGTCCATGGTAGTGCGGTTACAGGGAAGAGCTGTGTGCTTGACAATGGACTTCAAATTGGGGTTGGGACGCAGGAACTGGTCAAACAGCGGTCGCTTTATTATATCCATCAGAAGACGCCGACTAAAGTGGAGCGGTTTCTGCTTAAATCCCGATAGGATACTTCGGAGGACAGCTATCTTCATGGGTAGCGAAAGGGCTGTGATCTGGCGCTTTAAATGGTTCTGATGGTTCCAATTCTGTAGCAGGAGACAGGCATGCATATCGGCTGTCTCACGGAGGTTTTGGTATGTTGCGAATATCGGCTCCCAGTCCGAGGCGTGACAGTCTGCTTCAGTGGCATTCACCAACATCTTAATCAGTTCCGGCACGAAGGGCGCCTCTAGTGGGCGAAAGTCAGCCAGAGTCAGCCGACGTTCTACCAGGCCGTAGCGTACCTCCTCATCCAGTCCGCTTTCAAGAATTTTATTGAATTCGGTTCCGTCCGACTCAACGTTGCCATCGTCAAAGCTGTCCAGCGGTTCAAGTCTGCTGACTCTTTGTGGAAGTTTGACGAC